TGTATAAGAGTGACATGCCAGTGCTCGCCAACTCTACGTCATCTACCTTATCAAAACTCTACTCAGAGCTTGTTTATCTGTGAACATTTGTTTGAGAAAACTTAAAAAAATTAAATATTTTCAGACACATCCAGAAATTAAATTGTTTCATGACAAGATAAAAAGGGTCAGAGAACCCTTTCTTTAGCTCCACATGGAAAGTAAAACATTTAGCAGTAGAAGCAAGTCAGTATTAACATCACTATTTTATTTTTCATTAGTTTTATATTTTAAAGTTACCAAGAGAAATAAACCATTTCAGGCCCATGAAAGTGGTGAGGCAAAGTAAACACTCCCTAAAGGCTTTTTCAGCCCTGTGTGTAACAAAACAGTTACTGAATTCATTGTGCCTGTTTCCTGTATCTTCAACTCAACCCTGCACAGGGAGTTCTGGTGTCCAAGTATAATGTACTCTGGAGCTAAGAATGGCAAAGGATTCTCCTTCCTGAACCATCTGAACAGGTTCACCTTCATCCAGAGCTTCCCTTGCTGAAGATTTCCTGAAATCAGTTAGGAGGGCAGTTTCCTAGTCAGCATAAGAATCACACCATTGCAACTCCTTTAATATCCCTTACTGGGCACAAACCAGCCACAGAAAGAATTATAGCGCTAGTCTGCTTGTAATGTATCAGTCCATGTTTACAAATACACTTATTGGCTGTAAATTTGCCATTTGTATGCTCTTCTTTTTTTAAAAAAGAGAATATTTTACTGACTATTACAATATGTGTATTCCAGAAGATTTTTCTTTCACATATGTGAAACATCAATTTCCTTACTAGATGAAATCAGAACTGCTTGATTACATTCCACTGGGCTTGTACAAATGAAAAGTAATAAATAAAGAACAAGCCTGTGCTTTTGAAGCAAGAATGCAGTGGAGCAACAACTCTGAACTTTCAGGTTTCCATAGATTCCTTATAACCTAGCAGATTAAGCTCATATACTCTATTATAAATATGAAAATATATTTGTTTCTATAGCAACTTCCATGGTGTTATAACAAAATCCAAAACTCCTCATAATATCAGTGTATTGTTATCAGTTCACTTTGGCAACCATTTTCTAGTCACAAAAAGAAGGCAAGGACTCTGGGCATGAAACCTTTTGAATGCCATCCCCTATTTTTAAAGGCTGTAAAAAGCATATTACCATTCTCTTGAAATTTAATTCATGCCTTTTTAGGGGCACTTGGATATTTAGAAATTATGAAAAAATGGGCCATAAGGTGAACAGTAGGGTTAAAATGAGAAAATACCATTTATGACAGAGATACAGAAGGCAGCCTGCAAACTTTTGTTCCACATTTTTTAAGGCCATCCTGCTTAGTTTTGATTGTTTTCTGTCTAGCAAGGAGATTTTATTTTAAATTGTAGTAAACTGTTTTCTATTAGAGGGTTGAGGTTGGAGGCATTTTGTGATTCAGATTCTCTGGAAATACGATGAGAAACGTCATATTGGACATTTCCAAATTTAGAGTAATTGTTAAAATATTTAATCTAATGAGTGAATTGTTAGCCACCCCCTCACTGTAATTCAAGATGGAATTTAGCAAGCAGTGCCTCATTTCTTAGTCACCCAGAAATGTTGTACTCACTGCATGCCAGAATGACTTCTAGATCAAAAGTCGGAGTGCTGTACTCACCTAATTGCAGAAACAAATGGAGCTCTTTGCAACGTAATAATGAGCAGGAACAGTGTATTTGTTAAGTTTTTCTTCACTTCGTCTTTTTCAACTTATCTCCATCAGCAGCAGAGAGAACTTTCCACCTCGTAGATTTCTAGAGAACTTGACATTTGTGCTCTGCGCAGAGGGAATGTAGGGATTCAAAGGGGCAAGATTACCACAGCTGTGGAAATTCTTGGTGCCAGCTTTTACAGGCCTTGTGTGCTCATACAAGTACCTGTGGTATTCAGAAATTAGGATAGATACTAACCCACCACCTTGAGCACCCATCATCCTGTTCCTGGATACCTAACCCAGGTAAAGTTTCCCTCGAAGATGGCATTTTCTAGAGGACTACAGCCAAGTGTAGCTGCTGAGATTCACCTTGTCAGTCCCTGTCTAACGTTGGTGGAAGGGGAGGTGCAGCACCATTTAATACCAGGAATTACCATGGCTTTAATGACCTGATCCAAACACCAGTTAATACATTATAGATGTGGCTATGGACTTCACCTAGAATACTAAAATGCACTTCATGCATTTTATTTCTTGAACTTAAATACAACACTAGAGAATTTTTTTCTTCTGGATTGTCCTCTTTACCTTATAAAATTCCCCTATATATGAGGCTTCCATAGAGTTTCTTTATCAGACAAAACATTGAAAGACAACAAAGGGAAAATATAGTGCGTATTTAATCTGATCCTCCGTAGCAGTCTTAGAAAACCTCAGCGCATTTATTTGCCGTTCGTTCCACTGACTAATAACATAAAACCCATGACCAGAGCTTACATTCCTTGAGGAAGAGGATGACATTGCAGGGGCTGAACTGCAAGTCGAGTGTACTGAGTGCTCCCAACTAAGTGAGGAAGGATGTTCATGACAGGGACAGATGGCAGAAATCTCTGGACTTTGTAGCAAATAAGTGGGATCAAGTCATCTTTTGCCCTGTGACCTAGATCTGGGCTTGGGGACTTACACGTCCTCTGTTCCTGCAGCAGGGCAGTGGAAGGAAGGCTCCTCTGCACCGTAGTTTGTATTTGTGGGATGTCTCTGTATCTTCACTGGGGAAACTGAGAGAAGAGTCAGCTAGAAAGGCCTCCTGGCACATATTCAGATGAGGGGAAATCAACATCAGTGAAGTTAGAAGATGTGGACGACTGGAAAAACGAAAGGATTTGTGTGCTAGAGGTTTTCAAATATTCAATAGATTTCAGATAAATACGGACATTAGTGTTTGAAGCAAAAGCATCAAGAACAGCGTAACTGTTCTTTGCATTATCTATTTACAGCAACTACTGGTTTTTTCTATTTATTCTGCCACTTTCAGACACGTATAGGTCTGAAAGTGAATGCCTAACAACACATTCAATTTAAGTCCCACCAATGATAAAAAATAATATGCTCCCCTGAATGCTAATAAACTTCAATGCTTTTATTCAGAGCTATATGAATCACCAAGATTTATTTTCTCATAAAATTCTGGAAGTGAAAGTAATGAGGAAGTAATAGGCTAAAGAAGGAGGCAGTATATATTTTCTGACATATTTGTCAGCAGTCATGTACTATATGGCATTGAATATTCTTGGATTATTATTTATTAAAAAAAATGTTGATATAGAAAGATAAGATAGCAGTATTAGAATAATATGAATTGAAGTTTAAGAGCTGCAGTGTTCCTCAGTTAGATTGAATTGCTCCCAGCAAAATGGATCTCAACTAAAGATCTATTCAAATGTGTTCATACACTTCTTGTGAACTGCAATATTTGTATTTTTTTTATTTAATTCCAAAGAAAATGAGATACATTTTTTTCAGATTTTTTCAGTTTAATGCAAGCTACACATGACAAATATGTTACTCTTACTGTTATATTACACCTGCTGAATATATGATAATGTCATTAAAAACATGACATTCTCCCTATCCATTTATAAGCATGGAAGCCTCATGGCACTTTATATGCTTCTGGTAGTGTTAGACTCTGTCCTGGCAAAATTTCACGATAAATTCAAATGTCTGCCTGATGTCATGCTCTGATTTATTCTGGAGTACTTGTCCACTACCAGATCCATGATCTCCTTTATGTCTGACATAAATTAATTACAGTCAATACTACTCTCAGTGTGTTATGGGAGGATTTCAGCCTTCTAAATAGAACATCATTCACTGGATGAGAAACTGAATTACAACAATAGATATATAAACTCTTCTGCTCACTGTGGGGTTGAGCTAAGCAAGTCCCTTGACTTCTCTGTTTCCCCTCCCCATCATTTATGTGTGCTATCCATTAACTTCATAAACTCTCCAGGGCAGAAACTAGGTTTGAAGTGCTTAGTTCAGGTGGAGCTTAATCCCTTTAAATGCTACTTAAATATAAATAATAGTAATGAACTCTTGGCAGGAGGCTGCTGGTACACTCAGACTGCTGCATTGCCATAGTGAATAATATTGTCCCTTTGGCTCCTTGAGTCTGCCTCCCCAAGGTCCCATCCTGGAGCAGTCACAGTTGTGCTCCCTCCTCTTTGTCTGGGTGCAGCACCCAGACATGGAACCGATGTGTCAGAGGCAGAGAGGTGATGGGTTCAACTTGGCTACCAAGAGACCAAAACTGTGGGCAAAAAGGATGCAGGACAGCTGTGAGGTGTATGTTGCAACCAGCACTCCTTCTGCAGGGTCATTTTGGTGTGGGCTCAGCGTGGTCATCCTTGGCAGGTGGGTCAGCATGGCCCCTCCCATGCCCAAACCATGGAGCAGGTGGGATCGTCCCAACAGGAAATCTGGCTCTTTAGAGTCTATTATAGAGGTGTATTGCTTTCAGCTTTGTCACTCTCTAGGATCAGCCCAGGTAATGTTGTGCATTTTCATATGGAATGTTGTCATACAAGTTTTAGTTTGGGTCTTTCAAAAGGCTTTTGAAATTTAAGTCAAGAGGTACATTGGAATATGTGGTTTTGCTGAAACTAAAGCAGTAGCTCATGGCTGGTTACACATTCAACCAACATTTTGTTTAGATGTCTATGAGTAGAATTTTATAAAAAATACAGTAATTATGTATAATTTCATTCTTCTCTTAAACATTGCTTGAATAAGGGATCAATGTTAAACTACAGAAGACAGTGTCCACCTTCTAGTCATTGGGAAAAATCAGAACCAGAACCATATTTGATATTCATCTGGAGTTATGGAAGCAAATATTCATTCCCCTGTAGAAGGATTTTGCAGTCTGAAAAATGTCTTGCAACTTGCGGGCATTTTTGAATTGTGAAGTTATGATATTTTCCTGGATGAAATATGTTTGTTTGCTTGTTCCTGTTTCAACTGTCTGAAATTATTGATACAATTGTTGTTGGTTTATCTTTTCATGACATGCCTATTTGTGTTCCTCAGATAAATGGGAAGCCCCTGCAGTACATTTTCCCTCATACAAGGCTCAAACTACTGAGAGACCCAAAGGATCACACAGTTTCAGGTAAAAAAACAACCCTCTATCAGACATGATAATTAATTTGATTAGCATGAATTATACAAAAGATTTGCAGTATTAAAAATAGTTCCTGTGTCTATGCAGCAGGAAATTCAGTGGTCATTTTAAATCGTGCTCATTGGTTATAACAGAAAGCAATGGAGCATAAAAAAGGTCACAACATCTGTTCAAGATATATAAGCTATACAGACGTTCAAAACAGAGGGAAAAATCTGTTGTGTTATCCATATAAGCAGTCTGTTTTGCTGTTGCTTTTTATATAACTCTATATTCTCTGCATGAGTTTTTATAAAATAGGCTTGTGTAGGTGTTCAACATGTACAGAACTGAGAATTTTATTCTTTCTGTTCTGGAACTGTACCCCCCTACACAGGGGGTTAGCAGAACAATCAGATCCCATTTTTCTGTGGTATCTTCACATGGAGACATTTATCACAGAATTTCAGGTTTATTCTTTTTTCCCCTAACACTGACACAAACGTTCACGTAAGTAAGACTCTGCTTGCAAAGGAGATACTGGCAAAGGTGACATTCATTCACCTCCCAGGTTGAGAAGAGGAACACAGTGAGATGTTTTCATGTATGAAACTGTAAAAGGCTGCTCATTACAAGACCTAGGACAAGTAAGGTCTGTCTGTCTAAGCCTTTTGGAATTGCACTCTTTCTCACATCTAATACTGATAAGGAACTTAAAAGTTTTTTTAATACGATGTGTGTCTTCTTTCAGAGGTGGATGCTTTAAGGGATTTTGTTGTGAAACCATTAGACTTTCTTTTAACTTCCTTAAAAAATTCTAATAGTGTGTGTCAAACTCTGTTTCTGCACAGAAGTAATTACCGACTGCCAGCTCTGGTGTTCCCTCGAGCATTAAGTAGAAAGTGGCATGAACTTACTTGAATTGCTAAATATTGTTTTCACAGGATTTCTGGCAGCAAAATCTTGATAATTTCCATCCTCAGTATCCACCTCATATTTAGGGTGTTAAATGAATGTTCTGTATGTATTATGAGGTATTTTCTTGTTAGTCAGCGTAACACCCACTGATGATTTCAGGATTCAGAAAGACCCCTCCACCCACACAACACAGTCTGAAAGGAGCCCTTGGCACTGCTGTGTGCCAGCCTGAGCTGCTCTGGGCCCTCAGAGACCACAGGAACTCCTCAACATCCTCGTGGGGATCTTTGCCCTGCAGGGTGATGAGTAATGCTGTGATACAAACTGCTCTCTTACAATAGCAAGTGAAATTACAACCACACAACTGTAAAGCTCGTGATTTAGTGATGCTGAAGCCTACTCTCCTATGCAAAGTTATTTACCCTCATGTAATTTGAAATGCCAATTCCAAATTCTCGACTAGTTCTCATGCTGTTAACCACAGCAACATACTGTGCATCAGGCTAAACCAAGGTATAGATATTGTCTTCCCATTTACCAATGCCTTGCATGCCATGAGGTCGCACAGGATCAAAAATTTACTCAGGATCCTGATAAGGTTACATAGCCCACACTGGGATTGCTCACTGCTATAGCTGTACGATATTGTACTTAAATTCTAATTGGAATAAGCAAGTTCGACTCTGTGCCTACAAGTATGACTGCAGTCATACTTTTGTGTTTTAGTCCAGATACATGCTTGGAGACCTGCACAGGCATATTTCTGTATGATGTACATATAAATTTAAAAGGCTTAAGTGCAAATTGTACAGAAAAGAGCCAAAGGTGGAATAGGGTGCCAATGGGGAGGACCTGAAACAGAAGAATTAGTTGTAGTTTTCACTCCTTTGAAGTACCATAACTCCTTGACTATATACCTTCCTTCTTCCCCCTCTCTCATGTCTGAAGGATTAAAGTACACAGAAACTCTCTTCAAATGTGCAGTGCTTTATGCTTAGCCTTCAACCTTCTAAATGACCTCTCCCAGAGATACATGGGTTTTAAAAATATTAATTTTGATTAAACATTATCTGCAAACTATTAGCAAATGTCTTTGTTTATTAACCAGGCAATGACTATTAATCAGAGGAAGACCTAGAGTTCTCTTATGCAGCAAAAGTTACTTAAAATACTGGTAAATTAAACAACATATACTTTTATATCACCACAGCTATGTCACTACAGCAGTACTGGATATTCATCTAGATGCCATATTTGTTTTGCTGGCCAGTTTCTCTCTATTTCTTTGGTTTTTTTTTTATTTCTTCCTTTTGTCTCTTTCTGCTCTCCCCTTCTCCCTCCCCTTCTCTTCCTTATTGAAAGTACCAAAATGTTGAGTCGTTTTGTTTGCTATACTTGCTCCATAAACACAGGAAGAGAGTATATTAAAAAACAAAACAACCCTCAGTAAAGCTCACATGGGGAGTCAGATCTCTCCAAGAGAACAACCAGTTGACCAGGTGGCAGTGGGAGTCTCTGTTGCATCCATCCTTTCAGTAGCATCTTCAGCTGAATTGTTGTGTTGCTGGATACTTCCCAGCCAGCTGGCCTGTGGTCCTGGGTGACCACAACAGCGTATCCACTCTCTGATTACCTCACAGTATGTACAAAACAGCCTCTATCTTAGCTATGCACAAAAGCCTGTCCTATGTGATCATTTATTCACAGGCAGGAACATTTTCTACAGATGTTTTAAATTATCTACGTGCAGTTTAGTCAGTTCAGCAGCAGGAGCTGCCTGGAGAGATGCTGAAACACAGGTTGTCCTCTTAGGGAATTAATCAACACATCTTCAGTATACAATTAGTGTATCTTAACTGGAGTGTGCATAGCAGAAGCTACATAGGGAAATGTCCCAAAATGTCCACAATTCCCACTTGGAGAATTCCTGTAACTGTTGACCAGCTGCTTTGCTGGGAAACTGGCCAGTGCTTCAGCCCATCATCTCATCTCATCTCATCTCACTGGAATTCCTGGGCCAACCGGTGCATTAATGATTCAGTGTGCTGGGTCAGCCCAAATAACCAGTTATACCACGGCCGTAACAGTAGGACAAGCTGGAATTTCATCCTAATATCACCACTATAATTTGAATTCCACAGGTCTCATCGCTATCTTACCATACTGCCAGTTATTATCCAGAAATTGTTACTTTATGGGTATCAGTATTAAGAGTAGTCCCAAATATTTTAAAACTAAGGCTGCATCACTACATATTATGTACACACACACTGGGTTTATTTGCTCTCTTTATTAATAAAAACTGGCTCTGAGGTACAGATGCCTTTGATGCCTCTTACATAATCTGACATAATTTTGCACACAAAAGCATACACTGCAAATTTTGGCATATGAATGAGGTGTTTAAGGAATGAGGAACTGAGCCAAAATTCTAATTGCAAGAGAATAGTAGCTCTGAATGAAAAATAAATGTATACTTGCTCAAGGGCCTCTCTCTTGAAGGTTATTGTTTCTTTATCATATGCCATCATCTAGAACTCACAACTCTTCAAGGTATGCAATGTCCCCTCCTCAGGCTGACAAGTGTGAGGGAATTGCTAGGGATTTTCTCTGCAAAGTTTGACTAATAATTTGCAATTAAAAAAAAAAAAAAAGAGTTGGCATCATGGTTATGCTGAGATGCCAAAGCAATGACAGCAGCGATCAGTGAATGATAATATAGCTGTGTTTTACGCTCCAGAAACTCATTGTTTGTTTTCACTGAGAGTCCCTTGTTCCTGTTGCATCCTTTAGCAAAGCAGCAGAAGCGCTGTTTTATACTGCCAGAATTTTCCCTTCTGTTTTTTAATGTGCCATCCATCATTATGTTTGAAAAAGTGAATTAAGGACATGGCTACTGAAGGTAATGAAAGCACTGGTAATACCTTTGGAAATGTTGCAAAGATAACTTAACGTTGTGTTATTCCTGATCAGAAAGCTGTTTAGGCACGCTCAGGGTGACGTATTTCAATATATCTTTAGGTACGAGTGCACTCAGTCAAAGGTAATTTTTGCTGCTTTACCTCACTTTGTCTGAGTCACCAGCAATTCTTCCTTTTTGAAAGTAGGGATGTTCTGTGTTTCCAGGGAGAAAAACGTAGCTTTGTGCAACCAGACTGTCTGTGTGGTGGAATATCCTCTTCAATTCTAACACCAAAAAAAAAAAAAAAAGGCAAAGAAACAATTCAGAAAAAATCTGTGAACTTTATAGTGGAGTAAAGAAGAGTCCCTAATCTCCACTTCAGCAGTGATGTCAGTGAAATTCTAAGAGGATGACAGGGTAGCTGTAACACTACACGTATCAGACACGTCTTATTCTCTCCATAAGGATTACTGATTCCTGCAAACAACACTACACTTCTGCAGTATGCCAGCTCATGGGGTGCTTATCCTGAGAGAAAGAGAATTCAGAGAGTTTTCTTATATCAAGACTTCACTGCTGCAGATAGTTTCTAAATGAACAACCCTATATATCTAGGTTTCTTTCTCCTGCCAGTTAAGCAGTCAGTTCTTACAGCAAAATAATTAAGTGAAATGAATGTATGATTACTAATCAACTAAAAACATATTAAATATAGTCACAGTCTGTGTTGAATGTGATACAGTAGTCAAAGATAGAGAGTGAGAACTGTAACCCACCTCTTGTCCTCATACTCTTACAGGATTACTTATCCTATTTCTTTCATTTAATGTTGTGAAGAACTGAGATAACACTTTACACAAAAGAGCAATACCCTCCTCTAACATTCTCTTGTCACTGGGGAAGGATTTAATCCCTAATTAGTGGCCATCATTCCCTCAAACACTTGCTCCTTATCAGAGACATGGCACAGAAGGTAAAACCCATAAACAGAAAGGGACTGAGCTGCTACAGCCAGGCAACCTCAGAGGTTTTCCTGGGAAGTCATATGGTAGGAAATGACGACAGGACTGGAAATAGAAGGAAGGAGAGATGTCTGTTGATGTCTTAATAGCAATTTTAGAAAGAACTCAGTACCATTAAACTTTTCTAAATTAAAAAGAAAATAAAATTAAACCACAAACATTTTTTT